ATATAACACACACACATATATATATATCTAGCTCTTAGCTACCTCTGGCTGAGCAGGTGACTATACAATAATACAACAGAACAGGACTGCTCTGTTTTCTTCCGGTTCTTGTTTGTTGGATAATGCCACCGCTGGCACGTATACCATTTATTTGACCTAACCTTCTGGGAAATGTCTGTAGAGTATCTGAACTTATTAAGCATTTATTAATGGATTACCAAAATTTATACCTTCATTTTCACATAATAGTTTACTTATAATTGATCTATAAAGCGTGTGTATTAGGTATATGTATTATTAAACATGATTATTAAACATGACGTGACGGCCCCTGACTAAGTGACATATTTCATGGATATTTCATATTATACTTAAAACAGTACAATGAACCCAAATGGTGAACTCAGTAACTGCAGGTTTGTGTAAAAATAACCATTTGGATGTCTGTATTTTATTCATTTATTCATTAATTTCTTTGACAGATTCTGTGTTGTCCTTGTATATTTTTTAAGTTTTCTAGGACGCCTTAAAATCAAGGAACCAGGTTGGGAACCACTGCAATAGATGCACAATCAGAACTGATATGGCGGCATGGAGACTTTAAGGGATGGAGGGAATGAAGATATATGCTGATTTAATTACAAAGAATCACATATATCAACATTTGCTTAGAAAAGCCACCAAGTGAAGATATTTGAACTCAACCTATTTGTGCCATATTTCTATTTTTAAAATCAATCTAAATCATTGAGTTAATCATTACACTCATGTAATCATTACACTCTTATATATACTGTGAATGATTTTGATTTTCTTACCCTCATTTGTGCATAAACTATAGGTTATGAACTGTACAAAATGAGAAATTATACAGTCTAATCCATGAGTTTCTGAACGATTATAAAACGTTTTGTTTAGTCTATAGATGTTCCTTGGTAAAGTCGAGATTTTGTAATAGGCACTATGTCTACCAAAAAAACAAAAAACAAAAATTAAGGTGAAAGGTGAATCGTGGTGATTGAGAAATATATCTCAGATTGCACCTATGATCGAACGTCATCGTGACACAGATCTGATGCTCTTTCTCACAGCTCAGTATCTGGAAGTGACAGTAATACCATTTGACCAATTCACACACACAGACACACAGAAAGACAGACAGAGAGAGAAAGAGAGA